TGTGGGCACACAGGCCCTCACTCTTCAGGGCCACAAGCTTCAGTGCTTCCTGGTGGTCACCACTAAGAAGAGAAAGAGACCTTCACACCCCAGTGCCATCAACTAGGAACATGAAGTGGAGAAAGAGTGAGATGGAGATAGTGATGGTTCTCTTGGTTGAGGGTTCCAACAAAACACCTGTTTGAGACTTTGTTGAATCCACTCATCAAATTTCTTTTGTTCAAACGGCCATGTGTCCGGTCCATGGATCAAGGAATAGAGGAGAGGCTACTGACTGACCCAGGCAAGGTCGACAGGGCTCACAATGACCCAAAGATGTTGTCTTCAAAATAGCTCAGGATAAATGTGTAGAACTAATTGTGCAAAATGTGAAACTCAGCAGATAAGAAAGCCTCCTAATTAACTCACAGAGGTTGTTAAAACTGCTGATTCTCCGTGTATGTGACATGAAATATTTCTGCAGGAATTTAGCCTGCATTAATTGCATTTTAAAAAAAAGAATGTTACTATAATAAAAACCAAGAGCAGATCATGGGATGAATACAAATCCCTGACTTATTGCATTTGATTGGCCTTTTGTAAAATACCTATACAAAAGACAGGTCTTTGCTCACAGCACACAAGAACGGAGCACTTCTCAAACCAACCCTGATGAAAAAACCATTGGAAAGCTCCAAAGACTCTTCCATTATTTTTAAATGAAAAAATTAATTATTTTAAATGCAAAATTCATTCATTCTAAGAAGTTTACAATTCCATTTAGCAAAAGTCAAAAGACATACCTGAAAATTTGCATTAGAGCTGTGCTGTACAATCATCACTGTTTGCCGAAGTTACCATTTGGACAATTCCCCGAATCACCCCACCAGCATGACGTTGGCAGGGGTGGGGAACAATAGTTAAAAATAAATAAATATTCTAAATCCTGATCATCACTGAGAGGCACTTGTGCCTTTCACACACGAGGAATGGTGCAAGGAAGAGCAGGATTTGGGATCATTCAACAGAAGTGGAGAAGAGGGAATGTCAGTTGGCGCCCCCTGGTGTTGGAAAGCTTGTTTCCAAGTTCCCTTTCGTGCCGATCAGAACAGATTTGCTGGATCAGACCCAAAGCCTACTAGTCCAGCATTTTCCCCCCATTGTAACCAAACAAGTGCTTCCAGGAAGTCCACAAGCAGGACAGGGGTGTACTGAGTGCATTTAATTGGTTTAGGCATCTGAGGAACTAGAGGTTGGGAATTCAATTCCCTGTTGTGCCTCCTTGACAGGGGCAGGAGTTGGTCCCATCCAGCTCTGCAGTTCTAAGAGAATAAGACTATAAGATAATAGCGAGGGGAGTGGATGATGAAAGAACCTCATTCAGGGCACTTGCACTGCAACATTTAACAATGCCTCTCCATTGGACTTATGGGACTTCAACAATGGTCAGGCAACCCTTGTTTCTAGCAGACTTTTTATTGTAGGGATCATGGTGCACAACAACTGTTTGTATGAACGATTTGTCGAATAAAGTGACTGCAGAGTGCCTTTAAGGTACCGGAAGGGCAGAAGTGGACTTTAAGTAGCATGCATGACGAGAACTACACCCCAAAATTGATTTTGTTTTATTGCATGTAGAGAAATCATACAATTATTGCTTTCAGAGAAGTTCTCTGAAAATGTACCCTTGAGTTCTCTCTTACCTTCTTGTATGGCTTTCATCTTTAGTGAATTCTGGGTTACACAGGACCATAGGTTCTCATGATACCATCTCCCGCTCCTCCACTTGTTGCATCAAGAAAAGTGTCATCTGCGTTCTCTGAAAATGTACCCTTGAGTTCTCTCCTACCCTCCTGTATGGCTTTCATCTTCAGTGAGTTATGGGTTACAAAGAAAAGTATCATCTGCTCATCAACACTTGCTCTCTTCCCCTTCACACATCCTTCTCTTTACCTTGAGGGGTCTTGTGGTGTAGTACTTAAACTGAAGGAAGAACTGTCCATGACTGAGTTCAATCTCAGATTCAAGCTGCTGGCTCAAGGTTCACTCAGCCTTCATTCTTCCGCAGTCGGTAAATTGAGCACCCAGCTTGCTAAGGTGTGTGTGCAATGTGTAGCCTGCATAATTAAATTGTAAACTCCCCAGAGAGAGCTTTAAGCACATTTTGCATGGCTTTTGTGGTTGTTGTCGTTCCCTATAATGAGTATAAGCAGAAGCAAATCCTCACCATGCGCGCTGTAACATCCTTGCCTTCTGTCTCACTGTGTCTGGAGAACCTCTGTAGGAAAGATTAATGGAGGGCCAGCAGATCTTTCATGCATACACACACTCTTCTCATCAGCTATAAGATCCAGAGCTCTCACCCATTCCCACTGGCCATTCTGTTTTGGGGTGCAGGAGAGAGACTGTAGTACTTGCAACCTAGGAAAGTGACCAAGACTCTGTGTTTAAGAGGAGTGCACAACTTTTCCCTGGAAAAGACCCTGATGTCAGGAAAGTATGAAGGCGAGAGGAGAAGGGGATGACAGAGGATGAGATGGTTGGACAGTGTCACTGAAGGTACCACCATGAACTTGACCAAACTCCGGGAGGCCGTGGAAGACAGGAGGGCCTCACGTGCTTTGGTAATGACTAAACAACAACATGCAATGGTGGCCCTCCAGAATAGTACTTGCAACCTAGGAAAGTGACCAAGACTCTGTGTTTAAGAGGAGTGCACAACTTTTCCCTGGAAAAGAGTCTGATGTTGGGAAAGTATGAAGGCGAGAGGAGAAGGGGATGACAGAGGATGAGATGGTTGGACAGTGTCATGGAAGCTACCAACATGAAATTGACCAAACTCCGGGAGGCCGTGGAAGACAGGAGGGCCTGGCGTGCTTTGGTCACAAAGAGTCGGACATGACGTAATGACTAAACAACAACAACGTGCAATGGTGGGCCTCCAGATGTGCATTCTTTTTGCCCTACAATTTTCATAAATCATCGCCACTGACTAGGAGTGATGGGGGTGTAGGCCAGAAATATTTGGGAGGCCACAGTTGCCCACCATCACGCAGAACTGTCTTGTGGGGGCAGGCAGAAACTAAGGTGGAAGAATTTCCACAGCCCCACTCACAGTGGGTTCACTTTACACAAGCTCCCTTTTGCGGATGTCCTAATGGTAGACTTTGCCCCCCACTTTTTTTTAAAATCTCCAGCTCTTGATAGCCAGCTGGCTGGCAGGAAGTCAGAAAGCATTTTAAAAATCTTGCTGGAAGATCAGAAAACAGAGCAGAATGCAGGGTGTTCTCAGCCAGCCTCCGTAATATTCTGTGTGCCACTTGTCATATTCCAGATTCAGATCAAGGCCAGGAAAGTCCGTTGACTTAGCCAAATCGGCCCATTATTGGAAACAGCTATTAAGAGACCTCCTTGGTATGAAAGTGGCAGTAAGCTACTATCACCAAATAGGGTTAGGCTCTGTGTCTGATCAATGCATTCCTTAGCTTTTGTGGCTACAAGTTGCTCTGGTAGCCTTCCTGATTGAGGCGATAAGATTTATCATGTGATGTTTTGACTGACTACAAAACACTGAGCTGGCTTCCCCACTTTGTAAGAGTTGGTGATCTTCAGGATCGATTACTGTAATGCTCTCGATGTGGAGCTTCCTTTGAAGTTGACTTAGAGACTGCAGCAAGTCCAGAAGAGTGTCTTTAAATTTGATCACTTCTTCCTAGCCCTGGATTGCCTGTGCTGTTCACCTGTGATGTCCTAGATCATGTTCAAAGTTCTGGTGCTTATTTATAATGCACTTTGTGGTTGAAGACCCCATTCCTTTCAGAACATCTCTTCCCAAGATACAGTAATCTACCTACACCACCAGATCATCTTGGGCCATGTTTTTCTAGGTTACCACACCAAAGGAGGCCAGGAAAACATCCATTAGAAGTCAGGCCTTTTCAGTAGTGGCACCAGCATTATGGAACTGGCTCTTGGTTGAGCTTCACCTCCCTCCCTGCCTTTTAAAAATACTTAAGACGAGGCTCTTTTTAGAGGCTTTTGATAGCAACCTTGAATGAATTTTTCATTTGCTACATGCCCTGCCTGTCATACTATGGGCAACATTTGTGCTGTCACAGCTGTGTTATCAGTTGATGTCATTTGATCTTAATGTTGATCTTTTGTTTGATTTCCTATGTCTGTTTGATTTTTATCACCTGTTAACCACCCAGAATAGTGCTTTACACTAATGGGGTTGGGGGGGGGTAGGAAGGAAGGAAGGAAGGAAGGAAGGGCCTGGTTTGAAAATGGGAAATTTTGCATTCCAATATATTGCCCTCGTCCAGCTATACTTATGTGTGCTTCCATCACATAATCACTGACAACGCTTATACATTTTTTCAAACAAAAGGGGGAAAGTAGATGGAAATGAGATATAGGTAAAGGTTCCCCTTGACATTTAGTCAATCGTGTCTGACTCTAGGGGGCAGTGCTCATCCCCATTTCCAAGCCGTAGAGCCAGCGTTTGTCTGAAGACAGTTTCCGTTGTCATGTGGCCAGCGCGACTTAGACCCGGAACGCTGGTTACATTCCACCGAGGTGGTTCCTATTTATCTACTTGCATTTGCATGCTTTCGAACTGCTAGGTTGGCGAGGAGCTGGGACAGAATGACAGGAGCTAACTCCGTTGCGTGGATTCAATCTTACGACTGCTGGTCTTCTGACCCTGCAGCACAAAGGCTTCTGCGGTTTAGCTTGCAGCGCCACCCAAAATGAGATATAGCAGATTGTAAAAAACTATTATATTGGTTTCTGATACAGAGAGGAAACAGTTTACTCAATTTTTTTGGTCAGGTGTAGACAAAATTTATGAACATGAGGAATACTCAGCAAAATGTTTACAGAGTAATTCAATATATACTGTATATATCTTACATTCAGTTATATAAATAATTTACAGAAGGTTATCTGTAATGGGGAGAGGAATTCACTTGAAGAATAACACAACAATGCTGCTGACATCGCAGCTGTATGAGACTGTCTCTAAAGATTATGCTCTTTTTTATTTATGGAGTTTGAGGAGCCATACTGATCTCCAGTTCTGGATAAAATAAGAAAGATAAGTCACAGAACATTGATACTTAGGACTATCTGCAAAGAACAGAATCACTCCATCCCATGCTTGTTCTTTCATTCCCTTAGAAGTCTGGGAAGACTATGTGGTCCCCCTGCAGAAGTACACTTGGAAATGTCCCATAACAACAATCTGAGAAAATTGACATATAATGAAGGGGAAGGAATATCTTCATTCCAAGACAAGAAAATGGCTAAGTCTCTCTCAAGCTGTGCCAAGCAATTCTTCCATTGCTGCCTACCAGAAAATCCTGGTTTAAGGCTGCAACTTCATAGAAGCATCTTCAATGCCTTGTCAAGCAACATCTTGATATGGGCTTGTCCCACTGTTGCATCAGTTGCCACTCAATCATCACTAGTAACCTTGCAGTTCTCAACATTATACATCCCTCCTGTTGGGAATGACTTGTTGAAGAAAGCAGATGTTCATTGATGTTGTCACTATTGCTTGCTTGTTAGCTGCTTCCCTTTCTGGTTTTTAGGAACCACCTGGTGATAGTGATGAAAGCCAGTCTCTGGCAACAGCAAACAGTGGGTGGGCTTAACCTCAGCATCCAGATTGCAGGATATCTCCACCTGAGCGCTTTGTCACAGACAATGTGGTGAATATCTAAAAAAGGAACCATGTGAAGAAACAATGTTAGGTTCAAGCTGGGAAGGACTTTTAACTGAACAGATCTTCATCAATTGACTTTAAATTGTTTAAATATCTTATATTTTTAAATTGTTTTATACAGCTTTATAACCAGTCCTGAGATAGTGTGATAAAGGGCGGGCTAAAAATGTTCAAATAAATATCCTCCCACTAGTCTTCATTGGCTGAGATGTGATTCTGCACAAGTGTCGGTTTGCAGAACCTACCACTAAAAATTGCACTTTTAGTGTAGACCATTTCTAAATTACTTGAGATGGCATGCAATTCCAAGAATTTCTCGATAAACACATAAAGCTTGCATCTGTGGTTTGGGATAAGCCAAGATCAAAAACAGACCGCACTTTTAACGCTTGTTCCACACATTGGCTGAAATTCTGCTGCTCTAATACAGTGGTTTCCAACCTTGGGCAACCCAGATGTTCTTGTACTGCAACTCCAAGAAACCTTGGTCAGCACAGCTGGTGGTGAGGGCTTCTGGGAACTGCAGTCCAAAAATACCTGTGTTATCCAAGGTTGAGAACCACTGGTCTAATACATGAGATCATAGCCTTACACAGCATTAGGTATACCACAGGATTTCAGCCTCTGTGTTATCGACAAGACATATTCATTCCTTTCATCATACAGGGGTTATGTTGTTTTGCACTTATTACAAAGTTTCTGACATATACCCCAGAAAACAAACAACTAAGATGAAATAATGTGTCCTTCTCTGATTCAGGGCCTCTTATCTTTATGCACTCAAGATTCCTGGAAAGTGTAAGGAGATACTGTATGTGTGTGCACACATATGTAAGTAGGGGTTGGTGGGTCTGAACATGCAATCTTCAGTTTGTAGAGAATTAGCCACCTAGAGTGGTCCTGACCTGACCAGATAGGCAGGATTTGAATTAAATAA